ACATGTTTCATAAACACATAATCCTTTATGGATTACAATCCGCCATCAAAATGATACTTTTAATTATTCTGGCTGCTGTGAGAAAAGGCTATAAACGATCCGACACCTGCAGGATCCTCACATGCGATAGCCTAGTAGCTGGGACAACTTCTTTATGTTTACAGACGTGACGTAATGACGCAGTGCCATGCTCGAATTTCCTGCGAAAACCTACCCGTACCACTCAAATTAGAAAACATTATTAGAAGCTAACCGTTGTGAATCGGGCTAAAGTAAGGCGATAGTTTTGAACACTGGCTGGTTATGTACTTGCTCAAATATTGATTTCGGATCATTTTTAACCAAAAAAAGTTAAACCAAAAAAAAAAAATCCACTTTTGAAGATTTGGATTTTTTTTTTCTTTGAATGAATCAACAGACAGAGATCAGGCCAATCCAAAAGGCTGAGATTCTTTTGAGAGTTTCTCTTGAAACTTTTAAAGCGCAAGCGATATGGGCTCACTAAAGCAGAAAGGCTCATAATTAGCACAAAATTATGAGGGTCCCCCGCAGGGCCCCTGAGCCCTTGATTTGTGCCGGTGAGATGTCTGCTGCCGACTGTAATTGGACGCTTTATCCTTCTCTGAACCCCGTCAAGGCCAAATAAGGCAGCCTGAGAGTTTCCCGGAGTGATAATACAGAGTGAGTGTTATTATGCGTCACATGGTGAAGCTGTAAGAGATCTTCAATTTGCTTAATGTGGTGGTCTTAGTCTGGTGTTTTCATGCAATCTTCCTGTAAATGTCTCTTGCTTTCAAAGGAAAAGCACCTTCATTACTCTTGTAGTGCAGAATGGATCATTGGGTTTGTTGTAATGATTCCCACAACACACTCTCTCAGACAAAGCAGGAAAAGAGAGATAAGTGAAATATGACTTCCATAATATGGCCTCTTATGTGTCTTGTTTTGCATCAAGCATGTAGTAGAATCCTAATTCCATGTAGTAGAATCCACCCTTGCATTTACATTTATGCATTTTGCAGACACTTTTATCCAAAGCAACTTACAGTATATTGTATTCAAGGTACATGTTTACATTTTTTGTCATGACTATTGTATATACAGTGCAATAAACCTAAAATTAATGTGTCTGTTAAAGGTTAAATAAATGAATATATTCTGGATTTATGATTAAATTTTATATCATATACATTTATTATCAAAAACCGTGATAACCAAATGAACGCATATAACATGAACAGTTTATTCATCTTTTAAAATGTAGTGAAATTACAATTGAACAATTCCTTTTATTGCTTTTTATTTTTTGGCAAAGTGCTGCACCACAGGAATTTATCCAAAATGTTTGTATGTATTTGCAGAAATCATAGGGCCTTAGATAGTTTCACTAGAAATTTTATGTGGTTTTTAACTTTCGCAATATGCGGTTTCAGTAATCAGATCATGATCACAATCCGTTGGGACCTCGTTTCCACCTATTTAGTGCTGGAAAATTGGAATGCATCGTAATTTTTTTTTTCTTTTTTAATAAATGTATTGCATCAGTGTATTGACACCAAAGCACCATAGGCCTTTTTTGTCGTCTGTGCAGTGGTGTGCAGACATGTGGCTGTATCAGATGCCCTGTGAGTGAGAACCCTCACACAGTTGAATGGACTACACTTTTGAGAGGAGAGAATGACGTATTGCCCTTCTTTTCATTTTTTTCCTCATTCCCTTCCTTGAGGGAGCACTTCATGTTTTTGTAAAAACTTTTTTCTAAAATTCCACTAAGCATTTTTGGTTGTCGCCATATTCACATTACCTATTAATAGTCTTTTTACATGTTGTAAATTCTTGTTGATGTTGCATTTTGGAGCATTAACGTGCTTGTGATGGAGCAGTACTGGAGTGAGAGGAAACACAGACACTCACGCTTCTCACTCCAAGCTAAATTGTGCAATTCCATTTCCATTCTTCTTCACGCACATACTCTGGTTTAAAATCATTACTCATGCAGTCAGTCATGTCAGTCCACATCCTCTCAGTGTTGTGTGGGCTGAAGCTCTCTGTGGCAGCCGTGTCCCCTGGTTTCCCTGTCTCAGTGTGATTAATGTCCGATACATGGCGCCTTAAACCTTAGACCAAGATGAGCAGCACATTATGTTGTCCTTCACATTTCATGCTGTTTTTTTTTTTTTTGTTGGCAAGCATCTGAAGGTTGCTTAATGTTGTTATTATTGAATGGAAGAGACAAAAGGTTAAGTCAACACACTCATGGAGCAGAGGGGAGAGGGGATGTTGAAACATGCAGCATTGTGATTCTGTATGTGGGTGAATTGTCTCATCTGTCACATTAGCCAGAGCAGGTTAATGTGAGGAGACAGCTGTTCTGTGTAAAGCCCAAAACACACTGCATGATTTTAGCAATCCTATAAGATCACTGCATGTCACACTGTGCGACATGGATGTAATAAACTTGGCTACGACATGTGTGTAGTAGGCATGGGCCGGTATGATAACCTTAAGCAAAAATGTCACGGTTTCACGGTATCACGGTATTGTCGTTACAGCTCTAAAATGTGTTATTTTTAAATGACTGGGTAAAAAAAAAAACTTTTTTCCGCTGAACACAATATATTTAGTTTTTGAGCAACACAGAATATTAGGAACAGTAGCTCTGAATGAGACGCAGATTCTCTCTCTGACAGCAGGAGGCACACATGGAACACCAGATATGGCGTTTCCTTGCTTACCGCTGTAAACAAAGCAGCACTGCGCTGAAACACTGCTTTAATATGAACTATACCGAGACGAGATGAAAAGAAAATACCACGTAAACTTTTCTGAAGACAGTCAGTTCCCCTCAGAAACACATTCACAGTCAATTCCCCTCAGAAACACATTCATATAAACCAACAAATCAATATTGAGGATTTTCTTCCAATAGTTCCTGTATCGTGAACAGTGAGTGATCTGCTTGCTACAGTATTTTTCTCTGTGCGTCCGTCTTCAGTTTCTCTGGACAGACTTACAGACTTCATATTGTCACATAAATGGCATGTTGGAAAACGATTGCATTGCAACGCAGTTTGTGCAAGTCCAGAACAGAGACGAGTTGCAATAAGACAAAAAACGGCCGGTTGCCGATCGCATAATTAATTCATTACATTTTTATATAGGCTTTTCTAGGCACTCAAAGCGCATAAGTTCCAGGGGAAGCCATAAAAATGTA